AGTAGCTTCTTGTTACTACTAGCTTCTTGTTACTACTAGTAAGGCACCTGTTACTACTAGCGTGGCACTTGTTTCGACAAGATTCTTGGACATAAAGCCGATCTTTCCCGACGCCGCCTGATGCCATCGGTGATCAAAGGCTCCTTGTTCACCATGGCTGGACAGCCTGGGGGGAGAAGTGGACCCTGCCCAAAGCCTTCGGCCCTGGCCTATACCCCACAGCTGTAGGATATTGTAGGATGAAGACGGTCAAGAACTGTCGAATCAAAATGTCCATGTGCAAGGCCCAAACTGAAGCTCGCAGGAAATGGCTCGAAAAAGAGCTTCGCTTCAACGGATGCACAGCCAACTTCATCTCAAAGCCAAACCCTCGCCCTCATCCCATCACCCACAAGCACAAAAAAGTAAACAAACCTTATTGAACTCAGCCAGCTGCATTGACACTGTTGCAGGTGACCCACACTGGTCCGACCCGCCGACTGCGGCGCTTGACCGTCGCGCCTTGGAGCTCGTCCATGGGACTGTTGCAACCATCCTGGGAGCACGACTTCAAGACCTGGCACCAAACGGAGAACTGGACCGGACCAGCTCGGAGCTCGGGCGGATATTCCCGGAACATGCGGTCTGCCGATCAATGTATTGGGCGACTGGGCCGTTGGGCGGTTCTGCGTGGCTTCGACTGAGCTGGGTGAGTCGGGTTGGCTTGAAAATGGGTAAAGCCGAGGATTGCTATCTACTTCGCTTGTCCGATTTCTGGGAGCCACCAAACTTCTGATTGGTCCGTTTCATCCATTGTCCAGCCACAGCAACTCCGCTCTCTTCAAGCCACACCCGCGTGACCGACCCGCCTGAGCGTTGGAGATCCGCGTGAAGGCGCTGGAGCTCAAGTTTCTTTCCAGCTCCTGGCGCTGCAACAGCGGTGTTGGTCGCTGCAGGGATTCAGTGCTGTTGGTTTCTGTGCAAACACAGCTTTGGGATGCTGTACTTTTGAGCCTGACCTACAGTGCAGAGTTCATAACACAAAATTTGAAAATTTGTGATTTCTTCGCAAGTGCACGTGTACGGGACCATTGACTAAGCGAAATGGTCCAAGTGGTGGAAAACGAGTGACTAGCTGGGTTTGGTGGAATGATATCCCCCTTGTGGAGGTCTCTGGGGTGAGGGATTTGTTTTTTTAAAGAAAAAATCATTTATAAAATGGAATCCCTCAGGCTGCTGCTTTATAAACTGAGAACCCGACCTTTATATAATGGCGAGACAACATACAAGAGCAAAAAACATGAAAATCCGCAGACGCCTTTTCTCTCTTTATGGACTGGTTGTCCATGAACCGGTGATCATTTTGATCCGAAAATGGTCCATGTTTATGGAATGCTCAACAAACATCTTGCTGTGGTTCTGTCCACTATACGCACTATAAGTCTAAAGCCATGGGAGCCTGCATGGGACTATCACACAAAAATGAGCCATTTATGGTATAGCAATATAGTGGCTATAGACTCCATGTAGGCAAATCCTATACAGGACTAGTTTCTGTTAACTCTTTTTGAAGAAGAAGAATTCACTCAAAACATATCAAAAGAATGAAAGTCAACTAATTTCTAAACAAGGGAGCAACTGTGCAATTTATATAAGACAAGTGATAGCAACCGAATCAAAACATGTCCATCCATTTCCCATCACTTCCCCTGCCAAAGACAATGCACAACTTGAATGTGGCACATGGTGAATGCTCAGGTTTTGATCAGCACACAAAATCATGTCAACATGTTCAATGAACATCAATGAACATATTTATGTGTGCAGTGTTTTTCCTTTTGGCATTGTTGTGTTTCACTTGTTTTTGCTTGCAAGTTTGTTGAGATGATTGCATTCGGTTGCTATCACTTGTCTGAAATTGCACAGTTGCTTCTATGTTTTAAAAATATACAGTTGACGTTCATTCTTTTGAGATGTTTTGAGTGTGATTCTTCTTCAAACAGAATTCACAGAAACTAGTCCTGCATAGGATTTACCTACAGGGAGCCTATAGCCACTATACGGCTATACCATAAATGGCTCATTATGGTGTGATAGGCCCATGCAAACCCAGGTATGTACTAGAAACCTTGGTTGTAGAGCCACTATTGTAAGGGAGCTATAGAAACAGCCGTTAAGCTGCGAATTCTTTTTGGGCCGCGAGCTGCGAAGGTAGGTGCAATGACATCCTATACATATGTGCATGGTAAAAGTGTACATATTACATGGAGTGAAAATACACCCCCCTCAGCTAAGGTAGCTTTGCCACCGAAGCTGGACGCGGAAAGTGCACGAGGGCTTGTGCAGGGCACGACAGTGATGTCGGCTCATCGCATGGCGGCATACGTGGATGCTAGCAATCCACTGCCAACGTGGCCCTGTACGTGCATTTTAGTTATTCGCTCCCCGCCGCCAAAAGGACATTGAAAGATTGGACTTGGGAGGAAAACCGCATACATATTGACAATGGATGTCATGCAATGAATTATGCTCGCTCAGGCAAAAGTGTTGAGACTTGGCTCAATTATCGCCGATGCCACCAGGTCTGACTCGAGCTCCAGTCCCACGAGCGGCGGTCCCATTGCCGCTGCTCGCCCCACTCGCTCCAGTTCCATGAGCTCCATCCCCACGAGGACGATGCTGATCCGGATGCACGTGGGCTCACCGGTGAGGGTGGCGGAGCTCTGTTTGCTTTCGATGCGGGGCTTCCGGCTTCACCAGTGGAGGCCTTGCGCTTGCCTTTGGCTTGGCGCTGCTCTTGAGTCTGCTTGTTGACAACATCACGCCGTGCGGCGGAGAGGCTGTCGTGACAAAGACGGTTGATCATCTCCCTTGCGCCATCTTGATGCATTCGATGCACGCCATCCCAAGCCAAAAGGCCACGATGGGCATCAGGTGAGCTGAGGTACTCAACGTACTCGCGCAGGGAAAGAAAGGAAAAATTTTCTCATTCAAACTTTTTTCTAATGATATTCAAACTTTTTTGAATGCTTGTTAAGCTGGCTGAACTAAAGATTTTTCTTTTTTCAAAACTAGTGACTAGCACATTTGCATTCAAGTTTGCTGGTAGCAGCGCTGAATTTCTATGCATTTGCCATCAATTCCACACTGGTAGCATTATTGGTCATTGGTTGGTGTAGTTTTTAAAACTCGGGTTTTGTATTGGCAGGGCGCCTAACCAGGTATTTTGTATTGGCAGGGCGCCTAACCAGGTAGTAGGCGGACTCCCAGGAAAAACACAAGTGTTTCTACACTTTTGACACCACAAAATTACAGAAAATTCATCGTGTTTCTGTTCAGCTGTTTGGCTTGTTGAGCCCATCCGGTCGCTGAAGCACAGCCATGGCACGAAAGAGAGGAAGACCTCCGAAGCGACGCCCCCCAAAGTACCGATTGGGTAAGGCATGCGCTTTGCCAGGCCCTCTCTGGGACTTGTGGTTGAAACATGTCTTGGACAAAGGGCCAACATGGCTGTATGTTTGCCTGCTGTTGACCCATGTCTTGTGCTGCAGGGTGACAGAGGTATTGAGGCTGAGAAAAAGGGATATCAATTTCAAGCGCAGCACTGTGTTTGTTGGACCACTGAAAAAGGGCCGTCCAATGGTCAAACATGTCATGAAACCAGCTATGGCCAAACTCCGTTCTCTTCGCGATCAAGGAGTGGCAAGGCGGAGGACAAAAAACAAAGGGATGTGGGGCGCCATCAAAGAAATGGATAGGTGGCAGATCCCAGTCCACGCTGATGACTTTCTCTTCCCCTCATCGCGGAGTGACTGTGAGACACCGCACATGAACAAGAACACTGTGTGCAAGGCAATCGACAGGATTCGAAGCTCCTTTGACCCGCCTATGACTATCCAAACCAAAACTATCCGCAGCCATAGTGGGCGACACCGGATGGTGAATGATTTGAAGCGGTGTGGTGTCCCAGAAGGCACAGCCATGCACTTCGCCCGGATCGTCGATCGCAGGACCTAATGGTAATCTTGTGTCTATTTTTCTTTGCATGAGCTTTTAAACAGCAGAGGTTGCATTGCAGCACCAGACTTGGCAGGACATTTCTGGGATATGGCGCTTTGGATGATGAACAGACCGGACAAGCGCTGGAGAGCAACAGCAAGCTTACCAAAACGATGGCAGAGCTTTATGGGCCACCTGCCAAAAAGAAAAAAGGCAAATAGTGGTGTGGTGGCACCCATTGAACTGAACGTGCGCGGAGCTGCTACGTTTCACCTCTTTGCATGAACATGGCCACTGACTGACCAGCGATCTCTGCGCAAAACACTATTACTATATAAATATGTCTATATCTAAATACAGATGCGTGGCAAAGCTTACCCGTGCAGCTACCTGGGCTTGCGTATGGACCACCCACAGAAATGGGAGTCCCTCTATGACAATACCCAGATGCTGACGGATGGCTGTGGTGACATATTACGTTGGACAACTACTATGTTATTTGAATTATAAACATTTGAATCATAAACACTGGTTGAAGGCTGCATGTTACTTTGGAAGCTTGAGGGATACCAAAAAATCTACAAACCAAATCGACTGTCATGATATTGGGGGTGTCTTAACTTAGTGGTTCAATGATATGCGCTCGCATTTCTTGACACTTTATGGCTTCCATAAGGTATACACGTTTAATTTGTAGAGATTATTCAATATGTCTTTAAATTCCAAGTATCTTTATGGGAGTTTTAGGGTTTAGGGTTTTGTGATATTTAACCTTTGTGGGTTTAGGGTCATCGGACAACTATTTTATTTAAGCGGGTTGCCTTAAATATTTGGGCTTGCAGTTGTTCACCGAAGCGCCAAGCCAAATATACCTTTTTCCAAGCAGATTCATCTGTGCGTCAGCTTTCACTGGAAAAAAGGCCGGTTATGGCCATCAACATGGCGGTGAAAAGTTCTTTCAGCGCTGCCACTTACCAAACCCTCACGAGTGTTGGTCACCAACAATGACCTCCACATCAGCTGTCAATCCCAGCATTCTCATCCGCTTTCGCAGCGGCGGTGAGTTCTACTGCTGACTTGGCTGGGACACGCAACGGAACCTTGGTCATAACCATGGGCCTGACTGGCGTCAGGCCTTTCCCCGCCGTTGCGCTCCACTTCACTGCCCAAATGACATGGGAGCTTGGCGTGTCCCAGTCGCTCGCTTTCAAGCAGCCTGCCAAATGGTGCATGGCCACTTTGGCAACTCCATCTCCTTCAGCTTTGCTCGGCACATCCTCTCCCCTGAAACAGATGTGCACCTCAAGTTCCAGAGTGAAAAACCCTGGTTTGTCTGGCAGTGGTTTGTCGTGCAGTTTGTGGTACTGCACACCTGCCTCAGGGTGGGTCTTGCGTCGTTCTGCAAAGAGCTGTGACAAAGTGAGTGGCTTGCCATTCACTGCCACCACAGACTCGGCATCTTGCAAAGTAAAGAGCACATCGGCATCCGTCATTTCAGTGATTTCTTCACCACTTGACTTTTTGCTCTTCTTTGCAGGCGCTTGACCGGCACTATCGCGTTTGTACAGCCAAAATTTGCCCTTGTACCACCCAGCGATGATAGTCCCAGCAGGCACCAGTTGCTCTTGTTCCGATCCATTCTTGATGAAAATACGGCGGTTCAGGCCAATGATCACACTCAAGCGTGTCTTCGCATTGATGGGAGCTTCGTAGGTCAATGGACTGGGAATGTCAGCTTCGGGAATTGCCTGAGGGAAAAAGCACATACAATCAGCACAGCCAAAATACTATAACACAAAACACTAAAACACAAAGATTGTTGACCGGAACTGACATTGTAGACAATAACAATGTGCCTCAAATTTCACTGCTGCTGCGCTTGTTTCTTTCTTTGCTGGTTGCATTCCAGGTTCAGTCTTTGGTC